AGTGAGCTAACATGACCTATAGCGAAACCTCTCAAACCAAAAAAAAAAAAAGTTATGAAGGGAGTACTATACCTGGAAAATTAGATACAGACAAAGAGAAGTAAGAGTTCAACCAACTAAGAAACTGACCAACTTAATGGTAGGGACAAGTCTGGAGTTGAGTATTTTATCCCAGAATTTAATTGGGAAGATTGGACAACAGAAGATGAAGTACATAAGACTCAACTGGTGAAATAGATTATGACTCAACTAAAACATTACTGATTTTCGAGGCTGTTTTCTGGATTTAAGGATTTTTGTCTTGTCTTGAGCTGCCAGTAGATTCATGTACCTACTATTTGAACAGAACCCTAACCTGTTTCCTGGCTCTAAGTGTTAAGCAAACCGTTCTCAGCATTTCTTTGATTTATTAAAGTTAAGACTTTTCTTGAAATTAAAAAATATATTTAAAAATACCTATTTAATGACCACAGTAAGCTATATAGCATCGGCTAGGTGCTACTTTATAGTATATTCATTCTACTCAGTTTCATGCCTAAAGTCAGATATGTATTCACAGATAAGTATATATCAGCCGACCTTGCTGTTGAAAATAGTTAGATTATTTAAGATATTTTGTGAAATAATAAAATGTGGGGGGAAAAAGAATGGAAAGCAACTGTAGACACTGGAGATAGTGTGGGAAGAGGGTGGGAAATAACAAGAGGGTGAGAAATAGGGGGTATATATATGTGTGTGTATATACATATGTACATATACATGCACATACATATATATATATATACATATATTTATATGAAACTAGAAATGGAAAATATCAATAACATGTATGATTAAACCACTATGCAGTATATATGCATATATATACATATATGTGTATGAGTATATATATATTTATATGAAACTAGAAATGGAAAATATCAATAACATGTATGATTAAACCACTATGCAGTATATATGCATATATATATATACATATATGTGTATGATATTCTGGATGAAAAGTCACATTTTGTATGCTGTGACTATGCTCAGTTAATGAATGTAAAATCAATTAATTAATAAAGGAAAAAAAAAGAAGTTATTTAAGTTGTATAGTAGGCTGGCCCTGTAGCCTAGCAATAAAGAAGCCAGATACCACAAGGCCTACCAGTTTGACTATTGGCCCAGTAACTTGAAAAACACACCAGTCAAGTTTATCTGCATGCCCCAAATCCTAAAATGATGGAGAAAAGGAGAAGAGATTACTTCATGACCACATTCCATTGTGGGGTACCTGCTGCCTGCCTCTCTCTGATGAGTACACATGCCCTCTTACAATTAAAAAAAGCAGTTGTTGGGACCAGCAGTTGGTATAAAGGCTATGTTGCTGGACTCCCATGCAGTCGACTGTGGTTCGAGTCCCAGACCCGGTGGTTTAAACTCACACTGGGTGCGTGTGTGTGTGTGTGTCCAAAATCCCAAGAGGAGAATGGAGAAGGGATTGCAGCGTCGCCATTCCCCCAGGGGGTGATTTACCACTTTCTGTCTCTGTCTTTCTGGCAAGTGCATGCACCCTATAGCAAAAACCTCTAAAAAAAATAATAATAATTAAATAAAAAATAGTAGTTGTTTGGGACCAGCAGGTGGCATGGTGGTTAAGGCACACCCCCACATGGCCGAAAACAGTTCAAGTCCCAGACCTGGTGGCTGGCTTTCTCACTTTCTCTCTCTCTCTGGTCAAATGAAAAGAAATGAATGAAAAAAATTAATCATTCAAAAAAAGTAGTGTAGTATTTTGACATTAATATTAGTACAGAGGTTAAATAAATGAAAAGTAAACAAGCATGCTTCCGTTTATAAAGGAAATGAACAAAACCTACAATGAAGGTTTCAAACATACTTTATTTCTTCAATAATGCCATATTTCAATGGGTATATAGTGCTTTTTCTTGGCATCAGTTGTAAGTTGGTTTTGAAACAATTCGGTATTATACCAGCTGGGATGATTACTGATCTCTCCATTCCTTTGGGGTGACTCTGCCAACAGGGGACAGGTTCCATTCTATTCCAATTTGTGTTGCTGTCTGTAAGAATTAAAATGCTGTCAGTCACACATGTTTAAACCAGAGTCCATTTCTCCCTGGACCTATTTCTTCAAAATGACACGATATTCTGCTCCGCAGATTAAAAATTCACAGCAACTCACCTAGAATAGAGTACCTGCGATATAAGCCAAACCTAATACTGTCAGAATTCTCTAGAACACTGCTATTTAACAGAACTTCCTGAGATGAAGAAAATCTTCATCTGCATTATGCAGTAGTCAACAGCCATATGTGGCTAGTATGACCAAGAAAATAAATTGTTAAATTTTATTTAATTCAAATTTATACATCACATTTCTTTTAAGAATTCTTTTAACTTTATTTATTCTTTCATTTTAATTACACACACACACACACACACATACAGAGAGAATGAGAAAGCAAGCCAAGTCCAGGACTCAAAGTGTGGTCAGCCATGTGGGAGTGGCCAGCACCTTAAGCACCACGCCATCTGCTGGTCCCTTTACTTCACATTTCTATACTACCTCTTTAAAATATCACTTCCCTAGGGACCAGGAGCTGGCAAAATGATTACATAGCTGGACTTCCACATAGTTGACTGAGTTAGAGTCCTGGACTCGGTGGCTTAAACCTCATGCTCAATGCATGTGCGTGCCTGCCCAAGATCCCAAGAAGAGAATGGAGAAGTGACTGTGGCAAGGCTATCCCCCCAGGGGGTGATTTCTGGCTTTCTGTCTCTCTGGCGAGGGCATGTTCACTACAACAGAAATCTCTCTTTAAAAAAACTTCCCTCAACCACAACTATCCAAATAACTACTGAACTGCATGCACTTTATTTTATCCCTTTACCATTAGTGAGCATTTTGCCTCCAAAAGCTCCTCTGATCACACATTTGTTTGACATTCATTTATCTTTCTAATTAGGTACACACTTATTTTAATAGCATACCTGATTTCAAGAAGATCAAAACGAGCATGAAAAAGGCCTATTTATTTAAATAAATTTTCCATGTTTATTAAGGCAAGGGTTAATTCATACCTTTTAAAATCAACTTATAGGGAACAGCAAATGGTGTAATGGTTAAGTCTCTGGGCTCCATTTAGTCGACTGTGATTTTGAGTCCTGGATCCGGTGGCTTAAAACTCATGCTGGCTGAGTGTGCGTGCATGCGTGCGTGCGTGTGTGCGCGCGCACACATGTACTCAAAATCCTGAGAGAATGAAGAGAGGGGACTACAGCAAGGTCATCCCCTTCAGGGTGTAATTTCTCGCTTTCTGTCTCTCTGGCAAGTGTGTGCACCCTATAGCAAAAAACCTCTCTCAGGACTGATAGGTGGCATGGTGATTAAGGAAGCTGGACTTGCACATGGCCGACTGCCATTTGAGTCTCAGATCTGGTGCTTTGCTTTCTCACTTTTCCTCTCTCTGTCTCTTTGTGGTCAAATTAAAAATAATAATAAGAGGGACCAGTAGATGGCATAATTATTATGTTGTTGGAGTCCCACGTAGTTGACCATGGTTCAAGTCCTAGACCCGGCAGCTTAAAACTCATGTTGGGGTGTATGCATGCATGCCCAAAATCCCAAGAGGAGAATGGAGAAGGGATTGCACCATGACCATCCTCCCTAGGGGGTTATTTCTCGCTTTCTGTCTCTCCAGCAAGTGCACGTGCCCTATAGCAAAAATCTCTATAAAATATATAATAATAAAAGTTAAATAAAATAATTTTTTAAAAATCTCTCTATATAAGAAATGTCTCTCTGTGCCTGTGTCTCCAGCAAGCACATACACCCTATCGCGAAAATCTCTCTAAAAAAAAATAAAATAAAACTTCAAGACTATTTAGGTCAAAATGGCTAAGATGCTGGTGTCCCACATAGTTGACCACAGTTTGAGCCATGGACCTGGTGGCCTTAAAAAAAAAAAAAATCACACAAGGCACATGTGTGTGCATGTCCAAAACCTCAGAAGAAGGGACTGTGGCATGGTCAACCCCCATGAAGGGTGATTTCTTACTTTCCCTCTCTCTGTCCCTCACCAATGAGCACACATGCTCTATGGCAAAAAACTATTTAAAAAAAGCAATAAATAAAATTTAAATGATTTCAGGACTTCTGCTTTGAGAACCAGTATTTACAGTAACTGGTAAACAGATTTTTTTCTTTTTTTCTTTCACCATAGAGCACATACACTCACTGGCAACAGAGAAAGATCATGAGAAATCACCCCGTAGAGGGATGGCCATGCTGCAATCCCTTCTCCATTTTCCTCTCAAGATTTTGGACACACATGCACACGTGCAAGCATGATTTTCAAATCGAGTTGGGCGCTCGAACCATAGCTAACTGTGTGGGAGCCCAGCACCTTAACACCACACCACCCGCTGGCCCCAGTAAAAGATTGCTAAATGTAAGATATGGAAAGCAAGTAACTTTATATCTTGTCCACCAGGAATACTTTGCTCAATTCTGAATGCAGAAACTTAGAAAACTGACAAATGAAATGTATGCAGGAAGGTGATTCAAGATAGTGAAAATCCTGAAAACTACATAATAAGAAATGACTGACAGAATTAAGGATGTTTAATATGAAAAATTCAAGACACATGATAGCAATTATGTTAATATTCAATGGCTATAAGGTGGAATGGACAAAATTTTCTGTGGTTGCAATGGAATTATGGGTAAAACAAGAAGGGAAGTAGATTTGAACTTAACATAAGATCCTTTTAACAGCTATACAATGGAAAGGAATACCTCATGACACAGTAAGCAATTTGTTTTTGAAAAATGTTAAGAACAGAAGATTGATGGATGTTTAATGTTGAGGAAGAAATTCCTGGGCTAAGTGGGTGATTAGATTAATCTCTCAAGTCCCTCCTAATTAGAAATGTATAGTTTTGTTTGTTAGTTTTTTTATTATTAAGAGAGATTTTTGCTATAGGGCATGCACACTCATCCGAAAGACCGAGATTGAAAGCAAGAAATCACTCCCCAGGAGGATGGCCACACCGCAATCCCTTCTACTCTATTCGACTCTCAGGATTTGGGGCATGCAAGTACACACGCCCAGCGTGAGTTTTAAGCCTCTGAGTCTGGGACTCGAACTGCAGTTAACTACATGAATGTCCAGTGATATAACTATTACACCATCTGCTGGCCCCAAAATGTATACAAGTTTGGTATTCCTTATCTAAATTCTTAGGTCTAGACTAGGATCTTAGTTTTTTGTTGTTTTTTGT